CGTTCATATATGTAGGCAACGGCCTGAGGGTAAGCACTAGATGAGGAAAGGAACCGGTAGATGAGGGTGCGCTTGATGAAGTCGGGATCCAGGACGTAGTCCGCGAATGCCATACAGAACTCTCGGTCCTTTTCCAGTGCAAGCAGACTCGGCTTTTCGTGCCTGATGCGGCAACGGCATTCTCCAGGTAGTCTCTATACATGGTGTGAGCGATTGAGGATGCGGTGGCCTCTATTTTAGATTCGATTCCGCCCTGTGTATTTCCGTTCCACATGGTGAGCATGCTGAAGAGAGGCCACATCACTCTTGATGGTGCATCGAGAAACATACCGCATTCACTGTGTGATCGAAACTACATCCGGACGACCGTGACAAGCCGAGAACGATAGTTTGGACCTTGAACAACTGCAGCACGCGATCATCTCCACCAGGAGCCTCGGCGTAAATTGTGTTTGGAGAGTCACTGAACATTCCGCTGTCATTCAGGGAGAGGTGCGACTTGAGGGCGTCTAGATAAGGTGAGCTGCTGAACTCACGAAGTCCCGCCAAGGTGTCGAGCACTTGCTCGACCTTTTCTTTTGCCATTTCAATGTTTTGTTTCGGTGTACGCGTAGTGGATTGTCTAGGTACGTGTAGTTTCACTTTTCTGATACAGCGATTGCCACACCTGGGGAGTTCTGTCAAAGGAAGCTCCCAGTGGGATTTGCTGCCTGTTATATATTCCTTTACTTATACCACCTTGCTCCAGCCCTTTGAATGATCCTGGCACTGAGGTCGGCCCTCCAACCCGGCATGCGCACGGACACGTAGCCAATGCAATTATGTGGTGGCCTGGGTTCCATGGACAACACATACATAACAGTTGTCATTTGAGCCAGGTCGTCCAATCTGTTCTTCGGGGTCGTGAAGATCGGTGGGAGCTGAAAAGAAGGATCTTCATCTCAGACAGGGTATCTAATTCGCACAGAAACCGGGGTTCGAAGCAACACCCCCCGCACGATATTAAAATGTGGGCTACGGTTCGACGGCCTGTCTGTAGGAGGCTACTAACGCGGAAAGGAGCTGCGTCTTATTGGGCGCGCATGCAGGACGAAGCCCACCAAAATCGGGGATTTTCTTTCTCTTCAACAACTGTTCTAAGTTACCAGGCAGCCACAAACATCGGGCACCTACGTGGATATTCGTCTTGTCGGTTGTCTGCTGCGTCTGGTTGGCCAGCCAAGCTCGGACCTGTGTCGTATGCGGTAGGATTGCGACCCTATCTCTTTGGCTCTGAGAATGCGGGGAAATTCACGACGATATGGATCGGCAACTCACAATGGATCAAGGCTGTGAGGATTCATAGCTGGCACATTTTTATTACACATGTATATCTGCAGCCAGATTGTGATTGGGTCACCATTCTACCTTGGTGGATTGTCACAGTGTGATCCCAGACTGCTATTCTTCTTGCTATAACTATTTTATATACTAGAGACACCCCCGCGGCCTGCGCTATTATGGCTGTATCTTAAGAATTGAAAGGGAAAGAAAGCCTTGCCTTTATGCCAAGTGACCCCGTTCTGATATATTATCGAGCCTCTTCCCTTGCTATCTATCTTCGGCTCTGCAATTAATGTCTATTATGTCTATAGTAGTAAGGTAGTGCGTAATGTAATGATAGAGGAGGTAGCGGGTGTTGTGTTGTCTAATCTGGCCGCTAGGGTTATAACTTTGAACAATTACTAAAGTATATCAAATACAATGAAGAACAACTGAAGGTGTAAATAAGAGGGAACAATCAAATGTCACATATTCGTAGGTAAGGCGAGACCCACTTGCAGTTGCATCATTGACTGCTCCATGTACCTGCGCTGTCTTGCCCCTTCCCCTTCATGTCCTCCCGCCTGGCCGCTATCAGGATGCAATTCACCGTCGAAGTCCTGTTCATTGACGTGCAAACTGAGTTGACCAGTGGGAAGATCTCTCTGTCTCAATCTCCCGTTTCTTTGTATCTGGATGCCGCACTCATTGCAAGTACGGCTTCTAAAGAGCGGGCGCCATGATTGAACTTCCTGGTCTTCAGTAGTGCATTGAGAACGCTTTCTTGGACTTCGATCCGCTCCTTCTTTTCAATTCCCAAATGCCTCTGCAGTACTGGTCGAAGAAGAATAGCCCGTCTAATATTCGCCATATGGTTCCAGTAATGGTCGTCCGTGCCCTGATTGTCCTCGACCGGGCTAGGTCCTGTGATATCGACATGCGCTAGTATTTGGTCCTTAAATCTAGTCTCTGTATTTGGAGGCCTGTCGCCGTCTCCGGCTGGAGGATATTCATTGCGGGTATATAGACCAAGCCTGTTCAACTTTTCTTTCAATTCATCACTGGGGCCTAAAGCCCAACCAACCGTGGGCCTGGGCCGGGATGAGCAGTGAAGAAGCCTATGCGTGACGCAACCTCTTTTCGAGGAGGCGTTCGGCGTCAGGAAACATTGCTGAATCCGATCAACGGATCACACTGCCTAGTATGAAAGGTCGACTCTCGATGAGGCATGCATTGCCGAAGTTAAGGGAGGATGGTTCTCGGACACAAACAGCTTCAAACTACGCTATGTTAACTAGTAGGACCTTGCTGCTTCGGTTGTTCGATCGCTCCCAGTGGTCGACATGGAAAGGGTCAGGCGGTCGGCCTTCTGATTTCTGCAATGGCTTATCATCTGATTGGGCGAGACATGGAAGATACTCAGGCTCGGGATCGCCTGTTGCTTCTTCCAGCCATATCTTGGACACCCACACATGACTGAGCATCCAGATGACAACGAACCACCTCCACTGGGGCCCATGGGAAGGAACTCATTCTCATTCCTGTAAGCGTCACAACCAAGGTATCTTACACATTGATGTTATGGAGATCCTACGGGCATTGGATGTAAGTCTAGACCGAAAGGCTTGGATGCAGGCGACCGCCGAAAATTGTCAGTTTGAGGTAGGCACATATAGACAAATAGTAAGTAGTAGGCTACTGCTCTATATAACCGCTCGCTCCGTCAGAGGCCGATTCTCGATAAGCCGCTGATATGAAAGCACACTGAGGTCAAGGGTCTGGAAGCGCCCGTAAACAATTAACTCCGCAACACCACGTCCACAAGCCGGAGCCTGTTGGCTCCCATGGCCAGAAAAGCCCACACAGAAAAGGAAATTGCTGACCTTGCTGTGTGGCCCAACAATAGCATTATGGTCGAACGTATTAAACTCATAATGACCCACCCAAGAATCCGTCACGCGTGCGCTGGCAAATTGTGGAACCCGGCGTGTAATAACCGGAAGTATCTTCTCCTCCCATACATTCTCTGCAAAGCTGAAATCGTCCACATCCACCGCAGTGTCGGACTCGATGGGGGGGCAACCAACGAGGTAGTCCTTTGCGCCGTAGGAACGGACATGGACACCTGATGGGTCGATGGTTAGAGGGAGATCCTGGGTCAGGCTCTCGTCCACAGAGAAGATGTAGGTGTAGCGTCGTCTAGCCTCAATTGGCAAACCGGCAATACCTGCCATTTTAGAGACCGTAGCAGCGCGAGTTCCTGCAGCATTAACCAGGGTGCCGACGACGATCTGCTCCCCGGTGCGTAGTTTGATACTTCGCACCCTATCACCCGTTTTCTCTAATTCTGCACCGATGATTTCATTCGCGATGTACTCCACGCCGTTTGCCTGGGCGGTGCTACGCAGCCACTGCACCATACCCCAGGCATTAAATGCACCTTCATCGACAACATTCAGACTCGCACTGTCAAGGTCGTCGGTGTAGAAGAATGGGTACTTTTGCTGGACATCAGCCCTTGAAATAATTCGAGTGCCGGCTCCCAAGCTACCCTGCAGCTCCTGGTCCTTCTTCAGCACTCCCGTAAACTTGGATGAATCGGATAAATAGAGGTATCCAAAGTTGCGAATCGAAGGGGTAAAGGGTACGTCGCGGGGGTCTGGAGGAAACTCGGTGCCAAAGCGCTTAACGAAATCGGCTGCATATTGCGCAATCTGGACATTGATGGCGGTTGCGAATTGTTGGCGCATGCAGTTGTTGCTGGCTTTGGTAGCGGAATACTCCAGGGAAGGGTCTCGTTCGACAACGAGCACTGAGCCCTTGAAGTCTGGATTTGCAGCTAGATGCCATGCAATAGAGGAGCCACTGGTGGCACCGCCGACGATAACTACGTCGTAGTGCTGGCGGGTAGGAAATTTGCTGGTGAACATTGTGGGTGAGAGCAAACGTAAATGGTCGATGAATGTTCAATATTTGGTATTGGATGCTCTGGTTGTTCAAGGGTTTATATACAGTCTTCACCGTCACTGCTATCGTTATAAGATACCTAAATGTATTTACTCTGAATACTTGGTGGGCCAAAAAACATTTCTCTACCTTCCTCATGTCGTCATAAGTTGCCATATGCGCCTGTCGGGTATATCTTTACAAGTCGTGATTATCTTCACAGAGGCTCCACCAAGCCGTAAACATTAACTTTAGTAGCTGGACTTTCACAAGACTGGTTGCAGTAAATGCTATGGCCATTGAGCGGGTCCAAATTACTGTCGAATTAGTACTGCAATCGGGTGGAATCGCGATAGCCTTACCGGATAGATTTCCCTATTCGACCATTGACTTCGTCTCGTACGTAGGCATAAACCACAGACTCCCAGGCAGGGCTTTGAGGATGTGACAAAACTATTCGAGCCTCTATATCTCTATAGTAGCTTCGAGACATCTTGGCATGGTTAGCCGCCCACTACACCATCGATGTAGGCTAGGCCACAAGTAGATCGTTAGTAGTGTCCGTAATACATACATTATACCTATTTTTTATGTCGGACCTTCGTTCCCTTCATCGCGATAAGCTGCCGGTTTGATAAGCCACATGTGGGTCTCGCACCCATTAGGCAGGGTTTCCCGAAGTGGTACTTGACTAGATTTGCGGATAATTCATACTACTCCCTTTGTATTGCTACCTCACCAGTCTACACAAAATGTGCCACATAGTGATGTATATCCACACCACACCACAATTTGGTGACCCGACACTAACCCGTCTACAGAACAGGAGCAATAGGCTACATTAGCGGCGACGTCCTGTGTGCCCTTCCACAGGCATTTCGCTCGTGCAAGATCACGGCCCTCGTGCGCAGCAACAAGAAGGCATCCCTTATCACGGGCAGATTTCGATCGGTGACCCCGGTCATTAGAAAGATTGATTCCGCGGCGGAAATTGCGAGTGAGGCTTCAGAGGCTGATGTTGCACTTCGTACGTATAAGCAGAAAGAATCTATCCATTCTCCTGAGTACTAGATATATGTTATCTAACCGATAACTGCTGCCCGAAAGATCTAGCGAGCTCGCACCATCTCCCCAGTGCTACTGCCATTGCGCAGGGCTTGACAGAGACGAAGCGCCAAAGTCCAGGTATTCATAGATCTACGTATTTCCTCTGAAGTACCTTATGAACGCCACCCCAAAAGCTTTTCATCGCAGTTCGGATCCAAATCTCGGGCGCAAGCCTCCTCTCTGGCGCGGAAGTCGCAACAAGTTCCGATGGCCAAGCACGGGCCCAAAACCACAACGACCTGCAGGGCATCAGCGGAATCCGAATCATCATCTCTTCATCACCCAAGCGCGCGGTCGACCAGATGCTCCTAAATTTCTCCTCGGAACAGCCTAATCTCCGAACAGCGAGTATTTTGGGCCCTTGATCTATGGCCTGGGCCGCGGTCCAGTCAATCAGCGCAGCATCCAGCTACCTGATCTGGCGAAGGCGACCTTTCAGCTTGGCCATGGAGTTCAGGTCGGGAAGGGTCTGAGCTGTTGGAGAAATATTCACATTGCGGATTTGTCAAACTTGATTATGAGGTTGGTTGCGGAAACGGAGGTCTGTCAAGGCGGGAATCCTTTGTTGTGGAAGGAGAACGGCATTTACTTTGCGGAAAACGGAAAGATGGTTGGTGTTTTAGTTTCCCTTCTTTTTGTCACGTTTGCTGATATCTTATTGCAGCCGGTCGGGGAGATTTCAAGGCGAGTAGCCGCATTTGCTTTCCAAAACGGCTTCACGAAGAGCACATATGTTCAGGACATCGACGCGGAGATTGCAGATAAATTGACCGCACAGGGAGCCGTTCTCAGGGGGCCTAACGCCCAGTATACGGCATCTCGGGCGCGGGAGTTGCGAAGCTGGAAGCAGGCTTGTCCCAGCATTGAAGAGGAGGTCCCGAGAGCTGTTATGGACGGAGCTTTGCGGCTTAAATCTCATCCTAAGATCTAGAGTTTCCATCGATCGTAGTATATTATCAGGTAATTGGTCTTTAATTCAAGTGAAAGCGTCACGTCGCAACAATTGGACATCGTTCATGCTTCATAACATCAAACCAACTCAACGTGTAATCCTGGGTCTCTGATCGTGTCTTCCAGACGCACTGCGCAGTCCCTGCAGCTGCAGAAAACGGGCCCAATGAGGTTCGATGGCCTGTCATGATCAGCCACTCTAGCAGGCTGCTCTGCAATTCGGGGTCTAATGCCTCGCAGGCTGCAACGAAGCCAGGCCAGAGGATTGCTGTATCGGGCGTACCAGGCGGCGCACTCTCACTATCTTCGATGCGGGTTTTGTCGTAGCGTTTCAGAAACTCCAGACAGTTGCGGACAGTATCTTGCAGGATTACAGCGCTGATGTTGGAGACGCGACGGTAGTAGAACAAGATAATGGCTTGATGCATGGCTTGAATCATGAAATGGTTTGCTGTCAGGTTCTGGCTAATGGTAGTATCCTGACCGTTCTTCATTGCTGTTGGATTGATTGGCTTCGATTCAGGAGACTGCTTCCATGAGAGAATGTACTGCTCGAGCATGCTCGCGCGCCGCTTTAACTCTTTTGTGGTACGCGCGTCCACGGTCGGGCCGCCGCGATGAAGCAGCTCTTGCTCATTAGCTAAACGAATAACTTGCGATACAAGGTTCATGAGAGACTCCGGTATTCCGTACATGTCTGGGAAGAGCGTGTCATTCCACTGCCCCATTACCTCTAGATGAATGTCATTGTGGCCGATGAGGTTGCCTTTTACTAACGTTATGTCGAGCTCAGCACCTAGGATGTCGTCGGCCACGCGGAAGCTCCGCAGAGAATTTGGTGATGGCTCGATTGAGAGTAAGCTGGCGCTGGGACGGTCGGGACAAATGTCCAGTAAGGCACATCCACATGTGCTTTCGGCCATGATACGCAGGAATGTATAGACGTGGTGCAAGGATCGGACCTTGAGGGACTTATGTGGTTTAGGGAGGCCACGTATGCGAATAATATATTCGGCATCAATTAGGAAAGCTTGGGCGCTAGTATTTTCGCCGTTGAATACCTATGGATATGTGTTAGTTACATGAGATGCTATCAGCTTCCTGATAAGCACGTACCGCGAGCATGACCATGCTGAGAACCGCCATCAGTATCTCCTTGTACTTGACCTGCTTAGATCCTACAACCTCCTGGTGGAGGGCCAATTCGAGATGTTGCTTGGCGGTTTCTTTAAACCGCTTTGCTGATATGTGCAGGTCACCAGCAGAATGATCGCGTGTATACTTATGGAGGCAGCTGGCAGCAAGAAGCGAATAGAACAGCGACAGCCTAGTGTGGCTTGTGGTATGGTGAATGCTCAGGTCCGCGAATGCGCTCATTGCCCCTGGGAAATGGACTGTCTGCCAGGGGCAATACCGGCAGTTCCTCAAAGAAAATAAGAGCGAAATTACATTCTCTTTAAAGTACCGCAGCAGATCGGCAGCCTCAGGAGGTATGGTTGGGCGCCCTGAAGAAACCTCAAAGGATGGAAAGACTGGTGCCAGAGATGAAGAGGGGGACTGGTATGTAAACTCGTCAGAATGCGGGTCCATGAAAGGACGAAGGAGAGACTGAGCATCACTCGTCACAGCATCAATATCCAGAAAGGGGTCCGGTATAATAAGATCACATGAGCCACCAGGCACATTATGCGGCCCATCAAATATGGTAGTGTCACCTGTAATAGTGGGCCAGAAGACATCCCATTCCAACCGGTCGCGATCAGGTTCGTCGGACGGCGGCTCAGCTTGGTTATTATCTGCAAACGCGTTGGTCGACAACACCAGAACACCGAAAGGGCCTCGAAATGAATCGCCTTCCAAGCGTACGCCGCTTTCATATTCATTTTCCAGCTGAGCCAAAGTAGCACTTGCGGACTGCTTTCCAAGACTTTCTTTCATCAGTTGTGTCATCCTCAGCTGGTTGGCCTCTGTGACACTAGTTAGCAAGTAAGCTTTTTTCGTTGTATAGGCCTGAACGGTGATCTACTGGAAAATAGGGGGCGGCGAAATACTCGGTCTCCATCATGACTCGCCCAGACTAGCTGACGCTCATAGCCGAGACATGCCAGGCCTTGCTGTTGGCAGTTGTCGCAAACAGGGCTCGCTTCGTCACACTTTACATGGCGATGGCGGCAGGTTCCGCAGCCTGTAAGTGTGCGATTCCGTGAGAGCATGCTGCATAGTATTTTGCATTGACAAGTATGCTATACCTCACGTCTTGGTTTCCCTCCAGTATCTGAGATATACAAACACCGAGTGGAGGTAAATATTCTGTACAGTGTTAAGGATACTGAGATTGGCTAGTTCAATTGTCTGACTGAAACGATAGAGATACTGCTGGATATTCTGGGCGGAGATTCCAGTCATGGAAATAGAGGTCCTGTCAAGCAAGGCGCAGGAATAACATAAGGCCGGAGCCCCACCCTTCTGTCAAAGTTAGAACTTACAGCGTACAGCTCAACGCCACCTGTTTGTTACAAGATCTAGGCTATACTATAGACTCTGTTCCATTATACCTAGTTTATTATATAAAATTATATATATATCTAGTAGACTAGTACCAAACACAACAATACTATTCTTTTCTTACAATGATTATACCGTATTCTGGATTATAAAATTCCTCAATATTCTAATTGTCAGGCTATTTAAACTTTCTATATAAATACAGACTTTTCGGTGTTTTATATAGCTTCATTTTGAGAAGTATATGTGGCTGCGCAGCTCGCACGTGGGTTGCGTTACCTGTAACTATTCTAGTGTTGCTATGGTGTAGGTCAGTATATTTCTATACTATACTACCAGAAGCCTTCATTCAGAAAGAAAATATAGTAAAAAAAAAAGAAGCAATATTTGGCCGAGAAAAAAAACACAAACTTTCCGATGCAATAAAACCACCACAACAGTGAGATATAGAGGACCTGCCTAGTATAGAAGATAGCCAGGTGAATAAGGAAGGCCCTAGACTACCTTCTTGGATAGATACCCAAGGCGATGTCGTATAGGAGTCTGAATAGCTTCAAATTTATCGCCTCAAGGGTGGTGCCACCCGGAAGTACGGTCCAACCGACCGCCAACCACGCCGATTTCCTTTGATCTGATTTGTTTGTGACTGATTGGCTGCTGTGCGTCAGATCGTGGTCTTGGGAGAGTTGATGGTTGTAACGCTCAGGCGATTGGAGAAGGAAACGGGGCATACCGCTATTAAGTGAGGATGCAGAACCACATTACTGATTCTCACCAACATGATCTGAATCAAGCATATAGCTAGCGCAAGTTTCGTGAGATGCCTGATGAGGTTCTTGACAAAATATTAGATCTACGCTCATCAGACGCTCCCGGCCCGGAAAAGAGCTACCATTTCCTGCACTGGATGTTGCAAGCATTCCTTGCCGCCCAGTATTTTGCGCGGTTGGACATTGGGACTCAGCATGGCGGGGGCGAAAACGACGGCGCGTGACGGGCGTCCGTCGGAAAAGAGGGGGAAGGTAAGGGATCCAAAAGTGTGTCCACTTTATTAGGACTAAAGTGTGTAGATGGTGCCAGCCCATCAAGCAGACGCAGGTCTGTATCTTCCACTCCCAGTGGAGTTGTATGGAAGATATCGGACCCAAGAACCCACGACGACGGCGATGGCATATTCAAGAGAAGCAAATCAGAGAAATTCGGGCTGTCGCTAACTCTGGAGCCAACCTTGCCATAATCGAGCATGGTCCAAAGGGCGGCCACAGACGCAGTGTTGAGGTCGTCTGTTACGCAGGCGGGGTCGAAGAGCGAGGAGAGGATATGAGCCTGGGCGTGGAATTCACGTAGTCGAACAGTCTACAAAGATACATGGACGGTGGTTAGCAAGATGAAAGAGGAGAGCCGCAGGATGGGAACATACCATGTTTGTTGCGTGTCCCCATGTCCCTGCTAGTCGTTCAAGTGTGCTGAGGCTTTGGTGGAAGTAATCCAAGGTATTTGACGACCGAGGATCATTCTGGGAGGCTTGATAGTGGAAGGCAAGAGACTGTATTCCACCTACGACGACGATGCAGTAAGAGTAGAATGATGACTCCAGGGGAAAGCCCGCCTCGTTGGCATCGCGAAGGAGATCTAACAGTTGGTGGGCATGTTCGGCCCCCGCATGGAGGACACGCAGGCCGAAACTGGTAGGCACTTTTGACCCAAACGGCTTCAGTCGCAATCGCAAGAGAAATGGGTGATTAAGCAAACAGTGGGAGAGATGGAACAGCGTATGGGCGAAAATGACCCGTTCTGATTCCGACCGATGGGCCGAGTCGTGGTCGCGGAGCGTGTCAACGGCTGAGAGCCGTGTGCTTCTGGAGTAAGACTCGAATAGCAATAAGGACGAGTTGATCTTGGAAAACTCCGAGTTTGTGTCCCATGGCGGTGTTTTGTTGGTGTTGCACTCCCTGTAGACATATCTGGTGCAGCGTCCGAAGATGGATGCCATTAAGATGACCAGGCCAAATGGACTGGGAGGCTGATCGTGATCGATCTTGGAGTCCCAACAGAGGAGCTCGTGGAGGGTATGTGATGTCTGCACTCGCCCCGTGTAGAGTGCTTTCTCATCACATGGCAGCCGGACATGGCAGTCGTCGTCATGGAAGCATAGAGGCCGTGACTTGCCGCATGAAATGAGCCTGTCTAGTAAATATCCTGACCAGAAGACCTGCCTCCGCTCCTCTTGCTCGTGGGGTGATAGTGCGTCGGAGGGATCTATCATCAGGCGCAAGTCCTGGGATATGCGAGCTGCGAGGCCGACCTTCAGCCAGGCCGAACTGACATGACCGACTGGGACGGAAATCAGATACGAGAATATGAGACGGGGATGTTATAGACGACGGATCCTACCGGTGTAATCGACAATAGCCAGCAGATTCGCGGTTTGTACCACCTCCATTGTCGGGTTATCCACGACCGTGAGATGCTCAGTGACAACCGACATCCATGAGCGTTTGGCATATTCTTCCATCGCCTCCTGCTTTCTCCCTTCGTAGTATTCGTGTGTGGAAAATCGGATTGCCGATGCTAGCACGGCGAGGAGTAGACAGTGGGGCACGATTCCCATTTCTAGTTTTCTCCGGAACGAGGCTTCTTGGATACATGAATACGGACGGTTGTGGACGTGGACAAAGAATGTGTCGACGACAGACTGCAGGACTGGGGAAGGAGGGAGGGAGCTGGTTCTCGCAGCACGGGTCAGTACGGCCGTTATCCTGGCTGCAGGAGAGCTTCCCTACCACTGTTCATCGTCAAACCGTTTAGGCGGCGATGTTCTGCAAGGAAAATGCGATTAGTATTCGCTTCTGAAGAGAGGCAGAGCTAGTATACAAAGCCTGAGGAGCTGCGCGGTCACTGAGGTCGGCCAGACGCGACTCAAGCATGCTAATCCGCTGCAGAATCGCGCTCTACCCCTACGTCAGTATCACTACCGCACACACGCCATATTAATAACGACTGACATTGTCCTGGGCAACTGGTGGCGGCGGAGGTGCGGCGCTGGTATCGCCGATGGTCATCGCGTAGGGCTCATACACGCATCGCTGGCGACTGCGCCGACAGTGGAAACACACTGGGCGCTCTCCAGAGCATTTCGTCTTGCGTCGTCTAATTGTCGCCGTAGCACCCGAGGTCAGTGAGGGGAATGACGTGGGGGGTCAGTGACCTACCGGCAACTTGCGCAAGCATGGCGGATGCGCTTGGAAATACTGGCATTCAGCCGGTTGGGATCGTGATCCATCACGGTAGCAGCAGCCAGCCGGGCCTGGACACAACAAAGTTGAGAAGGAAGGAAAGCAGGCCGAGTCCGAGGAGAAGACGTGACTTGGAGTCTCCACTGAATGAATCAACTGGTTAGTGTGGGGCAGACCCACCGACATAATAATGCTACTCCCAATTGGCCAATCTACGAGAACACCCCACTTCCCCGCATGCGGCCGGAGTCTCCTTCCGCAGTGGTTGCGCGTCTTCCACCAGCTGCCAACACAACGCAGTTCATTCACATATACAATCAGGAGTAGGTCATGTTCCCGTACTGCTCTTATCCTGATGAAGAATAAACACATCAATTATCTTCCTCGATAAAATTACCCGGTTCTATCTCTGATTATCAGAAGCACATCGTATATACCTGGCATCCATACAATGTGCGGAAGGCCTTGTAAACCTCGGGTTATATTTATCTGGCCTACCGATCGCTGTAGCGTCATAGATCTGGATCAGCTATCAAGCTTAATAGAAACTATATAGATACAAAACGCCAAGTTAAAAAGGTCGATGAGCCAGAACAGATTAAAAGACCATAGAGTTTCTGCCAGAGTGCAGCGAGGGATAGCGGCTGCTACGCGACCAGTTCGATGCTCTAGGACGATAACCACCTGACAGTACAAATTCACTATAACTCCAGTAACCGCTGTTACTGATGGGCGATACGCTAGTAGATATATTACTCACAGTTTGTTCAACCTCAGCATAGCCCTGATTTCTTGGCTCACAGCCAAATCCGACAAAATCTCCTCGCTGCCACCCCCGACAACCATCACCCGAACATCTCTACTGATCTGTTCAATTCTCGCACCACGACCGTGCTTCGAGTACCCGAGACCGCCCAGGACCTGCTGGGCCTCCCGGTTGACCATCTCCAGAGTTCGCCCTGCAAGGACCTTGAGGTTGGCGAACAGGCCACCCATCGCGGCGTCAGTGCGGTTCGCCTTCGCCGTCTCCGCCATGTAGACGAGCTGCTCCATCCAGGCGTAGGTAGAATCCAGGCTCCGGCCCATGGCCGCAAACTTGGCACGGATTACTTGGCTCTCGATGAGCTTCTTGCCGAAGGTCTCGCGGGTCACGGCATGTTGGTAGGCATCTTCGGCGCAGACTCGAGCCATCCGCAGCGATGTACAAGCAAGCCAGAGACGTTCGTGGTTGAAGTCTGTCCTGATTAATTTTGTCCGTGGCACTAACACTGGGAGTTCATACTGTTCATGATAATGGGGAAGCCTTTGTTCTCTTCTCCGAGGAGGTTAGCCACGGGCACCTCAACATCGTCAAATTCGATGTATGTGGATCCTTCATCCAATCATCAGTCTCAATACAAGCCTATGGGGCACAGAGCGGGCTCCTACCACTGGCAAGAACTCCAGAGTTGTCAATCTTCCTGCGTGTTACGCCCGGTGCATTGAGTGGAATCACCAGAGCCGATACTCCAGCTATACCCCCCCCTCCTGTCCGCACCGCAGCGGTGCAGTAGTCCGCAAAGATGCCGTTGGTAATCCACTTCTTCGCTCCATTGACAATATACTTGTCGCCCTTTCGTTCCGCAGTTGTCGTGATGCCCGCGACATCGGATCCAGCTATATCAAAGTCAGTTGGCTGCACCAATCAACCATAAACCCAGACAGAGGATAACAAACCATCCGGCTCAGTAACACCCAGACAGAACCGAATCTTGCCAGTCAACATGTCAGGTAAGAACCGGTCCTTCTGCTCTTTATTGCCAAAGTTAATGACCGGTGGCCCACCAATCGAATTCCCGCATCCAAGCGCCCAGATCACACCAAGATAGCCGCATCGCGCAATCTCGTCAATAAGAATCAGGTCGTGGAACCCGTCCCATTCCTCAGCCTGGATTCCGCCAGGAAGTTGCTGGCCATTGAGATAGTTTGTAGCCAGGGGAAATGGGGTGGCAGCGGTATAGCCGAGCGCTGCATGTCGTTGATGTACCTGCGCACGGTCGGCACGGGGCATCATATTGCATATGTAGGTTACCTACCTCGACCGGAACCGAACCGTTCTTTTCCCACTCCTCACAGTAAGGAGCGATATGCGTGTCAATGTACGAACGGACTTCCTTTTGAAGGCGTCGGTGGGAGTCCTTGTAGTACGGGCTGTACCCGCGGTTGAGCCAGAGGGGGTCGGCGAAGGGGAGCGTTGATGACATGGTGCGTATATCACAAATGGAGATATTTGAATCTGGGGGACGTATAAAACAAGGGAGGTTATTCTCTAACTATAAACAGCTTGTCTCTACATTTCGATGCTGTCGGTCCGTGGACGCCGATCGTCGGACCGCACCTCGGAAAACCTTCGAAGCATGCTCGCTGGCTGTTGTCTCTCAAGTATCCGGCTATCAGTATCTATATGTCGCCTCGCATTCGTAGGATAATACGCTCAGGGTAAACGAAATCCGTGCGGAGACATGGTGGAGAGTAAGGCGGAGACCATCACCAAGGTGCCAGGCTGATCGTATATCGCCGCCTTATGCTGGCAGAGGTCGTCAAAGCTGGATGTCATTCTGGAGGAGGATATTAGAAGCACGCGGAAGGATGGTTCATGCGTGGAATATCTTTCTTCAGTTGTAGCGTTCCCTGAAGTTACACAGGATCGAGGGAGCCAGGCTGCGACATCAAGACTGTATTTATAATTTTGCCCATGACCCTCGCTTGAAGGCCACAGCCCCAAAGGATGCAAGGATTCATGACCCCATGCATACTGGTCCCAGGCAGTGCCATCGCGCAGCATTGGCAGAGACAGGCCCTGGTGTATAGCAGAAGAGCGAATTCATTCAGGTGCCTCTATGGTTAAGGGGCATGAGAGATCTGGGGTGGCAGGGTTTGGGGATGCAGGTCAAACTAACGGCCTGGAGTAGGAGTGTCCGTCCGTCCACTGATTGGCCTTAACGTCGACCCAGAAGTAGCGCTCCGGCTTCGGTCCGACGCTGCGGTCCGATAAACCATACCAGAACCTCCTCCTGCACAAGACAGCTTAACTCACGAGCACGGAACATGGAGGGAAGACAATAATCACACCGTATGCGCGTCAGATTACTTGAGCAAGGAATCACAAGAACACATCCCAGTCGGCATCTTCCAACCCCATGTGCCAGAGACTCTTAGTAGCCCTTTTAGAGCCGAAAGTTGGTTTACTTGTATTACTAGCCATTAAGAGAAATAGATAGTGCTTTTTGAAGTAATGACAATTGGGGATTTTCATTTTTGGCCCCACGTCGAGTCAGAGACCTCCGCCGCAGCTATGGGCGCCAATGGATGCCATCCTAATCCGAGAAACGGTCAGGCATTTCGAAACCAAAAGAATTCCGGGCCGACTACCATTTTGACTGGGCTGCTGAAGTCTAATCCAGGAAAGGAAAGTTGGGAGTGCGGAATATGTCTTGAAGAGCTCCCGATCCCCCCAAGGATCACCAAACATCGCCGTTTTCACAACATGGATGGGCTTAGGTATGTAGCAGGATATGTCTTTTTATTAGGCCACAGAATCGTCCTAACCTTCATCAAGTGAGGCCGACTCTCCCTCTTCGTGGAGAAGCACCCCTTGCCGACACATGCGAGCAACCAAGGGGGTCTCGGCGACCGAGCCACTCGATGACATGGTCTCCACGGCCCTGGCCATCCTGAGCGAGGATTGCACGACTCCCAGTGATCAGGGAGGAGATGGAAATGTCCATCAAGGTAGGCCACTTATCACGTACTCACGAGGGCTTGATACATATGAATTCCTGAGGCAAAGGAGCATTTTCGATTTCCCGGTGCACCACGTACGTCTGCAGTTTCTACAAGCATATCTTCACTACGTTTACCCGGGACAGCCATGTATTAATTTTGATGATGTCCATAACCTCGTGCTTCAGCTTCCGGACTCGCCCCGGAGTCCGCTCTTAATGTGGTCGATTCTCTCTGCTGCTTGTCCATTCGTTGATATCAACGCCATACGTGAGACTGGTCACCCGTCTCGCCTTGAAGCACAAGCAGCGATGATTAGCAGGGCAAAGGTAGAAATGCTAATGACTTGGATGGCGGTTGACCGCTAACCATATTATATAGCTAGCTTACCAGGTGGGAACCGAGAAAGATCATCTTGTCCAGATTCAGTCGCTGTTGCTGATGTCGCTTTGGCAAGGGGACAACGACGGTCCACTGGGGGCTCCTTACTGGCTAGCTCAAGCTCTTTCTATTGCTAAAAATACTGGGTTAGACATAGACGTTGGGAAATCAACATGCCCCATAAGTGGCCTGAAGCGGAGGATCTGGTGGTGTATATATATCCGTGACGTTCAGATCGCCCTGACCTACCATCGGCCCTGCCAGGTTCACGAAATGTACGGCACAGCCCTTTCAATCACCGAGAGTGACTTTGATCAAATCGAAGGGAATCCCCACTCCTTCAGCTTATTTCATCCTTCCGTTGTTCCCGTTAGGTGTGACGGGAGTCGAAAGTGGCTCGCTGCTCTATTTATTCAGAAGGCCAAGCTTTATCACAAGACCAGTCGCGCTCTGAGCTCTCTCTATAGCGTCTCCTGGACCCTGAACTCGGTTGGAGATGCGTGCAGCGTATTATACCCAAGGGACGGGGTATGTGCAAAGGATATACTCGTGCATCAGCTGAGCCTAGAGGACTGGATTCGAGATCTTCCTCTGGAGATACCCGCGTTTGATAAGAACGAAAACAACCCAGCCTCCTTTACACTACAGTATACGGCCTTGAGGATTGAGTGTCTCTTTGCACAATGTATGGTAATCCAATCACAACCACCTGACGAGATGAACCAGTGTATGCCCCCTGGTATTCAAATGGTGTCATCGCAGATCGTGTCGCTGGCCCGTAATCTCCACTCTGATGGGCTCGGTCGCTTTCTCCCAGCCAGCTGTATGGCGGCGATCGGATTCACGACTGAGGTTTTCTCTCTTCAAATGTCCAGATATGGAACAAATAGTGGAACAGAAGCCTTTGCGAGCTACCTGGTCTGTGTCGCATTATTACGGACCCTGGAGGCGATACATCCTGTTCCCCCTTACTACATATCCTCACTCCATACCCCCATTACTAAAGCAATGAAAGAATAAAAAAAATTTAAAGAAGGAAGGATAAGGTTAATAGAAGAAAAGAAAAAAAATAAGAATTAGATAGCAGGAGAAAAGGGAGGAGTTGGAATAATTAACTCACCATTCTCTAAACTTTCTCCAGAACAGCTTCCTGGTGCTTTTCCCTAACTATGTAATCTTGATAATTTAG